ACATTTGTAGCTGACTACAGAGGATCCCAGGAACTCCTTACAGTGCAATACAAAAACACAAATCCAGTTTATAACCTACTCCTGACTTTTTTTTCTCCTGTTAAGACAACCTGCCAATAGTAATAGCAGGGAGAAGAAATCAATAAGGCATGTTTTCTATCTGCACTATGGTGATCATAGGCTGGAGTAAGATTTGAAAGTAGGTCACTGCATTTGTAAGTCTTTTACTTGGTTTTAATACAACACAAGTGCAATAAGCTTGTGGACTAAGTTTTCAGAGTTGTGCTCGCAAGCTGAATGCTGACTCTGCTTTTTCAGGAATGAATAAACCCAAATAATTCTCCCTTATAAATACAGAAAATGCAATGTTTCCCCAACAGAACCCTGTGGAAGGCTGAGCATCCTCAACTCTGATTTAGTTGATAGCACACTACACCTCTCAGATTTGGCAATAAGGGGCCAAAGCTCAGCAGAAAGTATAAGATATTTATAGTTTTCTTCTGCACCTCACAGTTTTTTTATCTCTACAGTTAACTATCATTTACTGTTGGTTACCTGTTTAGTTCAGTGAACCTACTCAAGATCTCAGTAACGGTGCCATCCTTATTTGCTTACCTTTATTTAACCACTCCAAGAAGTGCTGCCATGGTCTTAATGATATGCTTGCTGAGCATTAGGTTTTCCAAAAGATATCCGAATTTGAAAAAGGAAATATGTTTTTTATTTTCCTGGATATGTTGTTAAACCGTAAATTTAACATTGTAAATGGCTTTTTTTTTAATTTAAAAAAAAATCCCAACATATTAGAGACTGGTTTTGTGACCTCTGATAAGGCGGGATCAGGGAACACTTCAGGTAAGACTGAAGGGTATACTTCACTGCTTCCTTTTTAGCATCCTAAAGCTTCCACAGGGAAACTGAGATTACATAATCTAAGAATTTCAATTCAAAAAAGAAATAGTCTACTAACATTTGTAGCTCAGTAACACAGGCTAAGAGCAACAACAAAGCAAACAACAAAGAGCCATATTTTTTTTTCCATTTGTGCTGGCTAATCTAGAAGACAGATCAACAAGTGACACTGGCTTAAGAATGGTACAAACGAGTAGTCAGCCAGGCCAGTAATTAGAAGAGCAAGTCTAGCATGAATTCTCATTACTAAAATCTTTTCATGTTGTGGATATAACTTTACTGACTCTGTTCATCAGTTACTCGGTAGTAAATGACAATTTTGAAAGAGGAATTCTGCAGCTCTATAGATTCTGTCCTGCTGTAAATAATCAGTCAGCTTTCAGAGCCAGCATGGCTCTGTCTGCCTTGCAGGAGTTCCAAGAAGTCTTTGGACTTAGCTGGATTTGGCTCTTTACCAGCTCTTACACAATTCAGAAGGTGTGCAGCGAGCTCCTTCAGAGCCAGCTTGATGGTAAAAGGCGACAGAAGAGTATTAACTGGCCATATGATTACTGCCCATCAGTAGCTCATTCCTAACCAGTTGTGAAATGGATCCTCTAGTTTTGCCACAGTTTCTCAAGTCTGCATAGGTCATACAGTGAACCTAAATATTACTTAGTGGATATAATAATCCTGTTCCTATATCCTCCTTCTACCCTATGTTTTGCCCTGTATTATCCTTACAAACAATGGGTAATTTCATATAGGGAACTTCTGCAGGGACAAGACTACTGTCTCACATACTCCTGTGCTCACAACTGCTCCTGCTTCTCTTCACCTCCAAGCTGAGTCAGGAATTGAACCACCAAAGTGAACGACTTCTGAAGCATGCAAGTGCTTCAGAAACTTGCAATCACAATGTAGGCATCATTATACAAACAGCTGAAGTGTCATAACCCATTTACTGAGGGTCTGTCTTATAAGAAGTGACAGAAAATTCCCCTGACCCAAAGTGGCAAAAAAGAAAAAGTAAACAAGCAAACATTTGCCATTTTCACCCTCAAAATAATGTATGCAACCCTAATCAGAATTGAAAGCAAGAGTGTTGTAGTTCTGAGATATGAATTACACCCTGGCCCTAGTTTACAAAGTTCTTAATTCACATCTGTACTGTTAGAAATGCACTATGAGGAAAAGATGCAAAATACGACTTTGCAACAAAGACAAATCTCTGCTTTCATGGAATATTATTCCAAGGAAATGGCAAAAGGTATTCCAGACAAGGGACCATATACCATTCAAAAAACGATTTAAAAGCCTCTGGCCACATGAAATTGGAAAGGATAGTTTTAAAGTGAAAAGACAGCAAATAACTTGTGAGTTGAAACAGCTTGGAAGCTAATCCCAGTAAATCAATGAGCTTCTTGGAGGGCCCTTCAATGTGATCTTCAGCAATTAATGGAACATGTTACAACCATGTTGCTGAGCATACTGTCAGGAATAAAGTTGTACATAATAATGGGCAGCAGGCAACACAAATTTTATGCAGTGTTTCTCTGCACCTGTTCCTGGAAAACTTCTGTTTTGCAGACTGGCTTGAACATATTCAGATGTTTTCACATACAGGGAGTAATCCTTCAAAATGCTAAGTCTCTCACAAAGATGTCGAGCACCATCTGCTCTCCCCAGTCTCTGTTTGAGGACACCAGTATTATGCAAGATAAGGTCCTCTGCACTTAAGACAGAACAATCAAAGAGTAATTTCCAACTGCATATGAGAGTTAACTGTGGGACTAGGGTATAAGAAGTCAGAGGCCTTGGTTTGAACTCCAGTCCTAGTTTCAATTCCCAAACGATTGCTGAATAAGAGAAATACATGGCTGTAGTCCAAGTCTCTCATAGAATACACACCCATTGATGAGATTCCCCCCCCCCAGAAGGACCTGAAACAGTAACAGGCAATATACACTGACAAGAAGAAATCTCTGTAAACTGTGTGAAGGCTGATCCAAGCTTCCACCCGCTGGCACATTAGGAAATGAATATAACATCTTTACAGTTTGGGGAGTAAGACAGGAAAGAACTACTTGCAGAAAAAGCTGTTCCTACCTTCTCTTTGAGGTCACGGGTTTCATTGATGAAACCATCTCTCTCCTTCTCCAATTGATAAATAATCTTCCTTTGTTTCTGAGCTTCATTCTTATAATTTTGGATTTCTGTTTCCAAGTTCTTCTTTGACTGTTCATGTATCTTCACCAAATTCATCTGCTGCTGAGTGGTACTGGTAGCCTTGACTAAGTTCTACAGGGAACACAAAATAATGACTCCTGAGCTGAAAAGGCAAGACTGCCACCACTATGACAAAAACACGCCATTGTCTAAGTGGATTATGAACTTCCCAATGTTATTACCCCTTATCTAATTTGTTCAGTTGAAATACTTGAGCCTCAAATCTGATTTTAAAAAGAAAAAATAAAAATCTCTAACAGAGCTGCTAAATAGTGTTTTTTCTGATTTAAAGTTAGTGTCTGTATTACCAAAAAAAATGAACAGGATTGTTTACAAATAGATATAACTAATGACTAGAAAAACCTTACCAGCTTTAAGGCATTTAGATTGTAAAGCATGCCAATAGCCAGTAAAATAAATAATAAAGTCAAACACCCTTCCTTCTCATGTCCTAAATAGCAAGTTCAAACTAGAAATTAACCAAGCATGGTTTAAAAATATGCATAAGGATTAAACAGAAAACAACAAGTTATCATCTTTACAAAACCAGCCTTCTGGTCCCACTTTGAAATTTCTT